AGTGAAAACCTTCTGGAAAGGACTCACTATTCTAGATGCCTTTAAGAACAATTGTAATTCATGGGAGGAGGTCAAAATATCAACATTAACTGGAGTTTAGAAGAAGTTGATTTCCGCCCTCTTGGGATGACTTTGAGGGGTTTAAGACTTCAGCGGAGGAAGAAATTGCAGATGTAGTGGAAATAACAGGAGGAATGGAATTAGAAATGGAGTCTGAAGATGTGACTGAATTCCTGCAATCTCATAAAAAAGCTTAAATAGATGAGGAATTGCTTCTTACAGATGAGCAAAGAAAGTATTTCTTGAGATGGAATCTACTTTTGGTGAAGATGCTGTGAACATTATTATAATGGCAACAAAGGATTTACATTATTACATAAATTTAAATGAGAGGACTGACTCAAATTGTGAAAGTTCTGTGTGTAAAATGCTATCAAGCAACATTGCCTGTGACAGAGAAATCTTTCTTGAAAGGAAGAGTCAACCCATGGAGCAAACTTCAAAATTGTCTTATTTTAAGAAATTGCCACAGCCACCCCTAGCTTCAGCAACCACCACCCTGATCAGTCAGTGGCCATCAAAATCAAGAACTTCCAGCAGCAAGATTACCACTCGCTGAAGGCTCAGACAGTCATTAGCATTTTTTAGTAGTAATGTGCACTGCAGTTTTTTAAGACATATGCTCCTACATATTTAATAGACTACAGCATAGTGTAAACACAATTTTTTTTTTAAAGTTCCAGGGTACCTGTGCAGGATGTGCAGGTTTGTTACATAGGTAAACATGTACCACTGTGATTTGCTGCACTTATCAACCATCACCTAGGTGTTAAGCCCGGTACGCATTAGCTATTTTTCCCTCCTCCCCTCTCCCCACAACAGGCCCCAGTGTGTGTTGATCCCCTCCCCGTGTCTATGTGTAAACACAACTTTTCTATACACTGGGAAAACCTCAACATTTGTGTGACTTGTTTTATTGCAATATTCGCTTTATTGCAGTAAGTAGCCAGGACGGAACCTGCAATATCTCTGAGGTGTGCTTGTATGTTGTTTGAGTCTAGGTAAGCCAGTCAATGAGCCTCCTTCTTTTTAAATGAGAAATAATAGCTGGCCCTCCCTATAGTAGGATTGTTGTGGCCTCCAGTGGGCCAAGGCATGTGACAAGTGCATACCATAGGCAAGGTCCGGGTGATCACGTTATTGGGGACTCAACCAACTCTTGACCATGCTGCTTCCTAAGCATCCATAACACAACTTGCTCGAAAAACCTATCCAAAATGTGGCAGCAGCAGAAGCTTGAGTTGGGGTCTTTTATAAATAAACTTGAAAGTAAATAGAGGGGCTTTCCATCCCCAACTAGAAAGAGGATGAGTGTCATGTTTGAAACAGGAGCCGTTATCTAAGCATCCAGCTGCGACACTTTGGTCAGCCATGGGGCATGAGTTGCACAGCTGAAGGACTGTGCTTAAAATTCAACACTTCAGGGCGGCCGCCCTGGTTGGCGCAGGGTCCGCGGTGCAAAGTGTGAATTACGCCGGGCTCGCGCCGGCGGCGGAGTGAAGTCAGGCTCCGGGGGAGAGGAGGGGCAGGACTCTGGCGGAGGCGGCGGCCCGAACTGGACGCGGCCCCTGAGTCCCGCGCGCCCAGGGTCTAGCCGTTGGCTCCAACCGTCTTGCACCGCTTTGCTCTGTCCGTGCTCCGCTCGAACTCTGCAGTTCCCTTACTTGCTCCTCTCGGCCGAGGAGCCCCGGGGCAGCGGGGTTCCCTTTCCGACTTTGCCTTTGCTGGCCCCGCTTGCACCCAGTCCCCCTCGCTTGGAGCGAGGCGCGCGCTGGTCTTGGTAACTGGCGCCGCGGCTACCGCAGAGCCTTTCCATCGGCGGCCGGAGCGGAGGGCTGGGGTTGGGGAGGTGTGAACCCGGCTTCCCGGCCCGGGGTCGTCGCCCGCCCGCCTTGCCCCCGCCTCGGCCCGGAGCCCCCGAGCCGCGGCCCCCTCCCAGCGCAGGGGCCGGCGGCCGCGGCAGGGCGGGCGCCGCGCGGAGACAGGGCGGTTGTATTCAATGGAAGTATGTTACCAGCTGCAGGTACTGCCCCTGGACAGGCCGGTCCCCCAGCACGTCCTCAGCCGCCGAGGAGCCATCAGATTCAGCTCCAGCTCCGCGCTCTTCGGCTGCCCCAATTCCCCGGCGGCTCTCTCAGCTCAATCTGAAACTGAAGTGTCTGTCTCTGCAAGGAATATCAGAAGGCTACTAAGTTTCCAGCGATCTCTTAGATCTTCACGCTTTTTTCGTGGTACTGCAGTTTCAAATTCTCTAAACATTTTAGATGATGATGATAATGGACAAGCCAAGTGTATGCTGGAAAAAATTGGAAACTGGAATTTTGATATCTTTCTATTTGATAGACTAACAAATGGAAATAGTCTAGTAAGCTTAACCTTTCATTTATTTAGTCTTCATGGATTAATTGAGTACTTTCATTTAGATATGATGAAACTTTGTAGATTTTTAGTTATGATTCAAGAGGATTACCACAGTCAAAATCCTTACCATAACGCAGGCCACGCTGCAGATGTTACTCAGGCCATGCACTGTTATTTAAAGGAGCCTAAGCTTGCCAATTCTGTAACTCCTTGGGATATCTTGCTGAGCTTAATTGCAGCTGCCACTCATGTTCTGGATCATCCAGGTGTTAATCAACCTTTCCTTATTAAAACTAACCATTACTTGGCAACTTTATACAAGAATACCTCAGTACTGGAAAATCACCACTGGAGATCTGCAGTGGGCTTGTTGAGAGAATCAGGTTTATTCTCACATCTGCCATTAGAAAGCAGGCAACAAATGGAGACACAGATAGGTGCTCTGATACCAGCCACAGACATCAGTCGCCAGAATGAGTATCTTTGTTTAGGTCCCATTTGGATAGAGGTGATTTATGCCTAGAAGACACTAGACATAGACATTTGGTTTTATAGATGGCTTTGAAATGTGCTGATATCTGTAACCCATGTTGGACCTGGGAATTAAGAAAGCAGTGGAGTGAAAAAGTAACAGGAATTCTTCCATCAAGGAGATATAGGAAAAAAGTATCATTTGGGTGTGAGTCCACTTCGCGATCGTCACACTGAATCTATTGCCAACATCCAAATTGGTTTTATGACTTACTTAGTGGGGCCTTTATTTACAGAATGGGCCAGATTTTCCAATACAAGGCTGTCCCAGACAATGCTTGGACATGTGGGGCTGAATAAAGCCAGCTGGAAGGGACTGCAGAGAGAACAGTCCAGCAGTGAGGACACTGATGCTGCATTTGAGTTGAACTCACAGTTACTACCTCAGGAAAATCGGTTATCATAACCCCCAGAACCAGTGGAACAAACTGCCTCCTGGAGGTTTTTAGAAATGTGAAATGGGGTCTTGAGGTGAGAAAACTTACTCTTGACTGCCAAGGTTTCCAAGTAAGTGATGCCAGCCAGCATTATTTGTTTCCAAGATTTCCTCTGTTGGATCATTTGAACCCACTTATTAATTATAAGACCTGAACATACAGCAATATGAATTTGGCTTTCATGTGAAACCTTGAATATGCCAAGCCCAGCAGGAGAGAATCCAAAAGGAATAACAAAGGAAGTTTGAGGTGTGCCATGACTTTTTCAAAGCATCTAATCTTCAAAACGTGAAACTTGAATTGTTCAACAACAATCTCTTGGAATTTAACCAGTCTGATGGAACAGTGTGTATCTTGTACCTTCCACTAAGTTCTCTCTGAGAAAACAAAAATGTGAAGTACCCAGTCTCTGCTGCCTCTGGCAAGACAGTGTTTACAAATCAACTCTGAAAATATTGGTTCTGAATTGCCTTGGAGCATGACTGTGAAGGAACCACTAAAACAAATTTAAAGATCAAACTTTAGACTGCAGCTCTCTCCCCCTGGTTTGCCTTTTTTCTTCTTTGGATGCCACCAAAACCTCCCATTTGCTATAGTTTTATTTTGTGCACTGGAAACTAAGCATTTATCATAGAGTACCACCAAGCTTTCACTCCAGTGCTGTTTGGCAATGCAATTTTTTTTTATGTTTTTAATTTGGGACGGGAGGGGAATAACACCAATGTCCTAGCTGTTAATTATGATTCTGCAGTGAAGACATTGCATGTTGTTTTCACTACTGTACACTTGACCTGCACATGCAAGAAAAAGGTGGAATGTTTAAAACACCATAATCAGCTCAGGGTATTTGCCAATCTGAAATAAAAGTGGGATGGGGAAGTGTGTCCTTCAGATCAAGGGTACTAAAGTCCCTTTCGCTGCAGTGAGAGGTATGTTGTGTGTGAATGTATGGATGTGTGTCTGTGTGCACGACTGTGCATGTGTGACTGTGCATGCTATGTTTCACCATGTGGGAAAAGATTGAAATGTAAGCTTTTATTATTTTAGAATGTGACATATGAGCAGCCACACTTGGGGGAGGGGAAAGTCGGTAGGTAAGCTCTAACAGATTGCTCCAGTTGCCTTAAACTATACACAAAGCTAAGTGACCAAACTTCTCGTTTTGATTTGAAAAAAAGTGCATTGTTTTCTTGTCCCTCCCTTTGATAAAACGTTACCCTTTGACGGGCCTTTTGATGTGAACAGATGTTTTCTCGGACAAACTATAAGGACTAATTTTAAACTTGGAACATCCCACTTTTGTAATTTGTTTAAAATTGTTTTATGTATAGTAAGCACAACTGTAATCTAGTTTTAAGAGAAACCGGTGCTTTCTTTTAGTTCATTTGTAATTCCCTTGTTACTGTAAAAGACTGTTTATTAATTATGTTTATAGTTTGTTGCAACAGCCATTTTCTTGGGAGAAAGCTTGAGTGTAAAGCCATTTGTAAAAGGCTTTGCCATACTCATTTTAATATGTACCTGTTGCTATTAACTTTTGATTAATAAAAACCTATCTTTTCACATTTAAAAAAAAAATTCAACACTTCAGCATTAAAAATAACCAAGGCCTTCTGCCAACACAGTGTGTCATGTTTATTGGGCTATTCACAGGTAAGCTTAAAATACAAAGAAGAGAAAAGACCAGACATCATCAGGAATGTCGAGAAACAAAATATTTAGCATTTCTTAGTTTCAAATGTTACCATTTCATTGCAGTTGAGGAATATAGGCCATTTGTTGACATAACTGCAATGGGTGAGGCTTATATTTAGCAACAGGAAGCACATACATTTAACCAATGACTTTTAGGACAAGAAGCAAAAAAGAAAATATTTTCATGTAGCAAGGACAAGAAAATCATTTATACAAATTAAATTGATACAAAATACATTATACAGAGAACACACGTAAAAAAGTCATTAAGTTGGTCATCGAGCAAAGGATGTCACAGAACACCACACTGAGAGCACATTGGTGTGAATTCATTTCAGTTACGAAAGTTATGTCCAGTTTGTGTTACAATTACTGAGGTAAAGGCACGATTACTTCAACATAATTAATGGGGAAGAATCCGGATTCCCCATGTATCATTCCTTCATACCAGTTTTCATCTATTTGATTGGTTAACGTAATGATGTCCCCTTCTTTAAATCCTAATTCTCCTTGGTTTTCTGGCTCAAAGTCATAAAGACCACGACAGCAAGGCTGGTCCATGGGAACGTTAGAACCTGTCCACATGATATGGAGACAAAAAGTAGAGGTTAACATGACCAATTATCCATGGGAAACTGGAAATGTGGAAAAGCTTGGAGAGACCCTTAACAGCAGGCCCTGCTTTTTTCCCACAACAAGGCCAGCTTCACCCAGCTCATGGGTGCTGTTTGTGGTCTCTGGCCGCCCCAGCTCTCCCAGCTGCCTGCGCTGACCCCACAAGCCCAGTGTCCATCTTTTCAGTACTCCCAGGCAGAGAAGCCATGCCTAGCCCATCTCCCAACTCCTTTCTGGGAGCTTACAGTTTCTATGTGGAGACTGGAAAAGACACGAGAAACTTTTATTATTTATTTTTGAGACAGAGTCTTGCTCTGTTGCCCAGGCAGTGGTGCGATCCCGGCTCACAGCAACCCCTGCCTCCCAGGTTAAAGCTATTCTCGTGCCTCAGCCTCCCAAGCAGCTGGGACTACAGTTGTGTGCCACCACACCTGCTAATTTTTGTATTTTTTAGTAGAGGTGGGGTTTTGCCATGTTAGCCAGGCTGGTCTCGAATTCCTGGCCTTAAGTGAACTGCCCACCTCGACCTCCCAAAGTGCTGGGATTACAAGCATGATCCACAGTGCCTGGCTGAGAAACGTTTAAAGAACAAATAAGAGGTGTGTATCACTCATGGTTCAGGAGCTCTGGGGAGAGGGGGGCAGGGAAGATCTTGGTGGTCAGCAAGATCTTCCTAGAGTATGGGCAGGACAAGGGCCAGGAGGAGAGAAACCAGAACAACAAAGACAAGAATATTTACAGACCAGCCTGACGTCTGTTCCCAGAATAACATCAAAAACACTTTTTTTCAAAACCAAATCATGCTAATTGTAAACAAAAAATACATGTAGGCAAAATGGAGAAAGAAAATTCAGAGCTATAACCCATTACCCCAGAGATAACTGGGCTAGCTTTCAGATTCCAGACGTCTTCATGAATATATTTGTGCATATATTTACATATAGTTGTTTTCATAAAAGATTCTTCTTGTGCACAATAGGGTGAACTTCCAATTTTACTTTTAGTTACTGACTAGCTGTCAACTCTCACAATGTAACACAATTTCATCAACTAATCTGTTGTTGGACATTTAAGGTTCTTCCTTCTCTTCTTTTCATCTCTTCTTTTCCTTCTTTCTTTCCTTCCTTCCTCCTTTTCTCTATTTCTCTTCCTTTTTCTTAATTGCTTTCTGTTCACTGTTTTATTCCCTCTTGGCTTTTATAGACAATTCTTTGAAAAATAGCTTATACATAAATATCTACAAATGTGCACAATTCCTGAGGATAAATTCTAAGAAAAGGATTTCATGGTTATAGAACATGAATTTTTTCTAAGACATCTGATATTTAGTGTCAATTTATTTTTCTATTAGGTTGGTGCAAAAATAATCACCATTTTTGCCATTATTTTCAAAAGCAAAACTCGCAATTACTTTTGCACCAACCTAATGTCATTATTTTTCTTAAAATTTTTAGAGGTCCCTTTATACTACACATATTTACCCTTTATCTGCCATTTCTGGTACCAATATTATTCCCAACTTATCATCTGTTCTTGTTTTGTTTTTGAAGTTTGTGCTGGTGGTGGGGCAGGGAATGGGCTATTTTGTTTGGGCATGAATTCACACATTTAAAAGAGTATAAGCAGTCAAACTAATCAGACTTTCTATTCATGGTTTATTCTCCACAGTCATATATAGTCAACTACATTTTATTCCAGTATTTTTATTTGATTTTTTTCATGTTACAACTTTTACTTTTATGATACATTTTGATTTTGGCAAAAAGAGGTAAAGATCTATTATACTGAATAATGCTTATGCAGTTACACCCACGTAATTAAATAATCCATGTTTTCTCCAGTAATTTCAACTATTGCCTTTATCTTTATCATATATTTAATTATCATGGAACTTAGATCTATTTTTTGATATTCTATTTTGTCCCACTGACTCATTTTGATAACAGTATCACATAGTTTTAAATATTTTAACTATATGATAAATGTTAATAGTTTGGGTGCGGTGGCTCACACCTTTAATCCTAGCACTTTGGGAGGCCAAGCTGGGCAGTTCATTTGAGGCCAGGAGTTTGAGATCAGCCTGGCCAACATGGAGAAACTCTGTCTCCAAAAATACGAAAATTAGCCGAGCATGGTAGCACATGTCTGTAATCCCAGCTACTCAGGAGGCTGAGGAGGAAGGATCACTTGAACCTGGGAGGCAGAAATTTCAGTGAGCCAAGATCACACCACTACACTCCAGCCTGGGTGACAGAGCAAGACTCCATCTCAAAAATAAATAAATAAATGTTAATAACTAGTAAAACTAGTTCACAGTCACTACTCTTCTATTTCAAAATTTCCTATTCTCTTGAAGTCATTTAAACTAGGTATATTTCAGTATTAATGTGACATGTTTATCTCACAAAAATCTCACTTCAATTTTGACTGGTTCATACTTTTTTTGAGTATTAATAAGAATAATTTTAGGAGTTTTTTTTTTAAATAAGTGACTTCTGGCATCCTATTTAATGCTTTCCATTTTTCCTATTATAAGACATTTTCCTTCCTCTAGACTTCAAGTGAGAATTAAAACAAGTTCTGCAGGCGATTATGTTCTTTCCCTACCAAGTCTTTTAGGTCCAAGTAAAGAAAGAAGGTAAATTTGAGTATTTCTGTGGCTGACCCACTGAGATGCCCCTTAGTCGCTGGGAGGGGTAGAGAGGTGACAGCATTGTGGGAGGAGGAAGGGAAGGGTTGGGGCAGTGGAGTTTCCTGCTGTGAGAAGGATTTTATTATGTTTGTTTAGACAGCCTGAAATTCATGGAGTAGCACCTGTTTCTCTGAGAACAGGGCACTCTGAGGAGCCTTCAGCAGCGAGGTTCCTTAGGTTGTACCGAGGTGGTTCCTGTTGCCTTCCTATGGCAGTGGGGGCCTCTCAACTTGGTGGCACAGTAGACAGCCCACTGTCCAGGTTGAACCCCAAACCAATGAAATCAGAAGTTCTGGCATCAGTCCTTTTTGTTTCTCAGGTCCTTCCAATGTCCAGGTGACTTTGAGAACCACCAGAGAAATGACCATCCCCTCCCTTTCCCTCAAGGAAGTATTAAGGTCAAAGAGACTCAGCTGGTGAGGAAAGAGAAGCGGGTAATAGCAGGGGAGCTCTTCCTCTTTAGGGAGTCAGCTCCTGTCCCGGGTGGTAACTTTGAAAGTCTGGCCCACCTGCAATATAACCTCTATGATCTATGCAATTTTTCTGGCCTCTGGACGGCTGCTTCCATGACAGACTGCACCCCTGCCTAAGTCTGTGTATTCCTCTTGTCATAATGATGAAAGCTGGGGGGTAGAAGGCTGTAGATATTGGGGCTTAGTTCACTATTTTCAATTTGAACAGAACATTCAATGATTTCAAACAAAGCATAGGGGAATATAGGGCTTATAATACAGAACTTTTCATTTTTCTTGGGTCATGGAGTACAAATATGGGTAGGCAGGAGGGGGCTGAGCACTGAAATGAGGGCAACCTGAGCTATGAGTCAAGGTCTACATTATTAATGTATAACTGTTTTAATGTGGATTATTAAAATGATTCTTATTCTTTTAGCATTTCTCCCACTACTAGTTTTTAAAAGGGAAGGGGTCAGGTGCCAAACCACATGGCAGTCTCTGGAAGCATTTCCTTGAACACAGAATGTTACTGCTAGAGACAGGCAGATACATAGAGGCAGATAGATACATTTATATATTTCCCTCTCATTTACTCTATAAGCCACCTGTAATGACCAAGATACTTAATGGCAGGCATACATTTGTCCAACGCCATCACCTCCAGGTGTAAACCTGCATACTCGCTGCACACTGCACACACAGAACACATCATGGAAAAGCTGCATTACTCACATCTCGTCATTCATGCTTGGCAAGGAACCCCCGCCACATTGCCCACTTTGATATTCTGAGAGTTGGAAAGAGACCAGCACTCATCTCACACTCCATCAGCACCTAAACCCAAGACAGGCATCTCTCCAGAGACCACTGAGAAGAAAGACCCTGTTGAGAGCTCCCTGACTCAGGCACTGCATGTGCCCCTGGCCCTCCAGCCACCATGGGGCTGCCTACAACACCTGTAATCCCAGCACTTGGTAAATCCACCCCGACCAGAGCTCAGACTGGCTGCCCTGAATTATACAGACAGCCGGACGATATTCTGAAGTATCAATGCATTTTTTATTATGGGTCATTTCTGTTGCCTGGGGCCCCCAACCCAAGGAGCTGGGGCCTGCCTCCCTTACTTGAGGGGGCAGGGGGAACCCAGACAGGAACAAAGCAGTCAATATTTAGCTTTTAAGTTCCCAAATAATGCCATTTCAGTTGTGAAATGTTGTGAAAGCCAAGGCTTTTAGGCGTTCATGCTAGAGCCAGGTAGGCTTTTACAAGTGAGAGAGAGAGAGAGAGAGAAACTCCTGGGTTCCAAGGAACTAGAGCTTAAAGAACTCAGAGCCTAGCATTTTGATTACAAGCTATGGAGAGGGAGGGGCTGTTTCCTGCCACCCAGAGAAGAGATACAAGCTCTTCCTGGAGGCAAAGAAGGGGCCTGGAGTGACAAAGGATGGGCAAGAAGATTGCAATGCTCCTTGGATGCCACCCTGGGGAAGAGGGTCTTAGACTCCACTTCCCACAGAAATTCTGGGAGAAGGCAGCTCTCAAAGTTCTCTGGACTGACATGGGGGCTGGAGCCCTGTGGAAACTGGGTGGGTGGGGTCACTAAGCGGAGGTGGGGCCTGAGGGCTGGTGGCTCTTCCCTCAAGTCCCCAGCAGGAAGTGCTGAGGGGTCACAGAGGCCACAGGCAGCCTGGGGGTGGTGACACAGGGCTCCAAATGCAGATATTCAGCAACCAAGAGAGGAAGGCCTGAGCCACAGATGCCAGCAGGTCCTGGCTCAGGCCCCAGGCCTCTTGTGACAAGTCACCTCAGCTGTGAA